TGAAGGAAGCCAGACCCGAAAGCCTGCATGCTGTAGGACAGTGTTCATATCAAGTGCTCAGAGAAGAATTATTGAGGCAGCAGGCTAGGGGGTGCTGGGAGCTGTGTGGGGAATGGGGATTAACTGTAAACGAGCAAGAGAAATCTAATTGTGGGGGATGAAAACACGTGTGAAAACTGATTTATGCTGAAAATTGCACCACTTGGTAAAAATTATTAAGAACTGGGGCGCCTGGGTGGCTCAGATGGTTAAGCGTCTGCCTTCGGCTCAGGTCATGATCCCAGGGTCCTGGGATCGAGTCCCGCGTCGGGCTCCCTGCTCCTTGGGAGCCTGCTTCTCCCTCTGCCTCTCTCTCTCTCTCTGTCTCTCATGAATAAATAAAAAGTTTAAAAAAAAAAAAGAACTGGGGCGCCTGGGCGGTGCAGTCAGTTAAGTATCCTACTCTTGGTTTCGGCTCAGGTTGTGACCTCTGTGTGGTGGGATCGAGCCCCGTGTTGGGCTCCACGCTCAGCAGAGTCTGCTTAAGATTCTCTCTCCCTCTCCCTTTGCCTCTCCCCCCATCTCTCTCTCTAAAAATAAATCTTTTTATTTTTTATTTTTTTTTTAAGATTTTATTTATTTATCTGAGAGAGAGAGAATGAGAGATAGAGAACACAAGAGGGAGAGGGTCAGAGGGAGAAGCAGACTCCCCGCCGAGCAGGGAGCCCGATGCGGGACTCGATCCCGGGACTCCAGGATCATGACCTGAGCCGAAGGCAGTCGCTTAACCAACTGAGCCACCCAGGCGCCCAAAATAAATCTTTTTAGATTAGAAACCCCTGAAGTGTATGTTTTAAATGGGTTTTATGTAACTTATGCCTCAATAAAAGCTGATTTAAAAAAGTAGTATGTGCTAAGAAGAGAAATAGAGCAAGAAAGGAGGCTAGGTAATAACTACATGGTATGTATGTTGGGGAGAGGTTGGATTTTAGGTAAGAGTTACCAGGGAAAGCTTCACGCAAGTCTTTTTTGAATTAAAGATCTGAAGATGAGGGGCGCCTAGGTGGCTCAGTTGGTTAAGCGACTGCCTTCGACTCGGGTCGTGATCCCAGGGTCCTGGGATCCGGCCCCACATCGGGCTCCCTGTTCAGCAGGGAGTCTGCTTCTCCCTTTGCCTCTGCCGCTCTCCCCTTATGCTCTCTCTCTCAAATAAATACAATCTTTAAAAAAAAAAAAATTATCTTTAAAAAATCTGAAGATGAGGAGATAAACCATGCAAACACATGGAGGAAGTGTTCTAGGCAGTGGGAATACCAAGTGCAAAGGTCCTGAGGCAAGAATGTACCTGAGTGATGAAGAAGTGCAAGAACTTCAGAGTGGCAGTGAGAATGGAGGGAGACAGGAGAGGAGGAAGGATGGGAGGGGTGGAGGGGTGGAGGGGTGGAGGATTTGTACATCAAAGACTTTTGATCTTTACTCCGAGTAAGAAGAGGTGGTGACTGATGATTGTGGCTTTACCCACAAGTGGATGCAGGATATGAGAAAAATGTTTTTCCAAGCGAAACAAATTCCATGAGGGTTAGGGACCTCGTCTGCTTTGCTCAGCACCCAGAACAGTGTGACTCAGAATTTGGTGCTATCATTTGGTGAGTTAGTGAGGTGACCTGGTGCCAGGCCCTCTGCTAATGTAATGTCAAGTTAGAGCAAGCAAAGAGTGGCTAAGAGTTTGGGTTGTGGAGGTCAGTCTGCTCGCAGGTGAATCCTCACTCTACCTCTTACTGCTCTGTGGATAAATAAGTCAACCAGTCTGCACTGCAGTTTTGTCCTCTATAAAGTGGAAGACTTACCTCATAAAGTGACAGTTGTGTCTGGGGCCTGCCTGGCACAAGGTAAATAGATGCTCAGCAAATGTGAGTTTTTATTATTCACAAACACGATCTCATATGCTTACTTGTGAACCTGGCAGTTAAGATCCCATGTTGTATATGAGGGAGTTGAGCCTCAAAAAGATGGTTTCGTGCCCAAGGACACTGGGCTAGTAGGTTGCAGATTGGTAGTGAGATGCCTTCCAGACCCAAGAGGAAGTAGCTCTTTACTACTTGGCTAAGATTGTGGGGGTGGTGAGTGGGCCCGGGGAAGAGCACGGCCTGATCCTCCAAATTCCCCTCTATTCACTCCTGTATCATAGTTAGGATGTGGCCACTTTCACAGAGACCAGAAGGAGCCTTAACAAGATAGCTCCACTTTTTTCTCCCCTAAAATCACCCAGGGAAATTTTGGGGTTGCTCCTAACTGGTTGCTCTGCATCCTTCCCGGGTGTTGTCCTGAACATAGAGGGAAGCTGGCCTCCACCATCGGATTTGCGGGAAGGGAAAGGGCAAGGAGAGGGCACACCAATTCTTTTTAAGGACTGCACCTGGAAGCAGCACCTGTCCCTCTGGCCAGGTCAGACACACGGTCACATCTAGCAGCAGGGGAGGCTAGGAGAATACAGCTCCGAGCTGGGCGGCCGCATACCAGCGAAAACCTGGGGACTTCTTTACTGCAAGGAAGGGAAAATGGACATGGGAGCCTGTCGGTTACTACTCCCTCTTGGTGGCAGCGAATACACCCTCATTCCCTTGCTCTAACCCAGAAGACTTACAAATGGAGGCCAGGTTAAAGCTGGGAAGGTGAACCCAAATGCTTGATGAAAAGCAGGTGTGAGGGTCTAAGATGAACACGTCCAGCCTTCTGCTCTTCGGGAAAGAGCCCCTGCCCTCAGTACTCCCCAAGCCAGCTACTAGGGGCAGGGACAGTAGCTTACATCCCTCCCCAGGCCCAGCCTACCCCTGACCTCTAACAGCTCTGTCCTCCTCTGCTTGTTTCCTCCTTATTTCTGCCTAACATGACTCGGTCCTAAGGGTATAAGCAATGCCTTCCCCTTTGTAGGAAAAAGGGACTTGTGTTCCCAACTGGCCTGTGATGCTGCCATTCACTACTAGCTCAGCTTCCCCTTTCTCTAGCATTCCACCAGCGGACACTCTTTGGAGGCTCACCCCGACCCTGAAGTTTGTACTGAGTCACTGCAATTTAGGAAGAGATTGCTGGATGCCAACTTCAGTGGCCAGGGAAGCCAAGGTGGGGTAGGACCGAGCAGTGGGCCACTGGGACACGGTCCTCCACGGGCATGCAGCGCTCCTACACATCTGAGGACTGACATGGCTCCCTGGAAAAGCAACTTGTGCAAGGCCTGCTTTCGTCTCTTTCCTGAAGTTTACATGAACGGAGTGCCCTGGTCCCATAAACATCATAATCCCTGGACTGGAATGTTTTCTTTGAACTTAACCACATCCTAGGAGATGGATGACTTTTAAGCACACAGTACGTAGGGACTCAGTTTCCTTTCCCACAAGACCAAAATGCTGCCCTGGCCCTGGACATTCTGGAACACTAAGAACATCTTGACGGACCACCCTTTGGGATGGGCCAAGGGGCAGACAGCCTGGCTGTGGAAAGCCAAGCTTGGCCACCACCCAGCTGACTGTTGTGTCCGGGATTTGCTTTCACTCTATTTGCAAGCTAACAAGTTAGCCGGTAACTGTTTTCAAAATGCTGGCAGAGGCCTGGAGGTTCCTGGGTCAGAGACAGAAAGCCTTATTACTCGCAGCAAGCACCAGGAGCATCAGCATTTGGTTTTCTTGGCCTCGTGAGCTGGGGAACCTGCCACTTGCCGGTAAGTAGCAGGCAAGTCTCTTTGTCCTAGGACAAAGGGAGCCATTCCCTCATCCCTCAAGGTGCTCACTGCAGGCCCAACCTGAGAAACGGCCCAGGTAAACAGCCATCAAGGTCACACATTCTTGGCACGCCCAGGAAGCCTTGTAGCAGCGTGACACAGACCCCCGCTGGAGACCTGTCTCTGCCAACAATCCACCCCTCCTGCCTCCTGGGGTATTTTCACACGAATAGGCCACTCTGATTAATCTAACAGCCTGAGAGCGAATTCATTCTGTTTTTCTCACACAGCGTTTAATTAAAGCGACCTATGAACAGGATTCCAAGAAGTAGCGAGTCCTGCGGATAGGCCAACCTGCCGTCCAGGGTCCTGGAGCTTTCCAGCCATGAAGGAGTGGACATACTTCAGCCAGCCAGGATGTAGTCGAAGACTAGTCTCTCACCCATGAGGACCCACACCAGGGACTTCAGACTGACCTGCAGCTCTTTGCGGTCATTACCAACAATTACAAGGCCCCAAAGCAACCCTCATGTGCGATGGGGAGACACCGTGGCTCATTCCTTCCCACGCAGAATGCTGGGGCACAGGGCGCTCCAGCTGAGGATTTACTACACCTGACACTGACCACCACCACAGACTGGTGCCACTGACTAGTCGCAGCCTCAACCACTATCCGTGGCATAGCCCTGGCGCTGCTTGGGCGTCACAAGCGTGATTTTGTTATCAGCCAGATTGGAACAAGGCTGTGCAGGTCCACGTGTATGTCTAGGGTGGGGCCCACATTCAAGCGCTGCTACTGATGGCACCAGGCCCGGCACAATCATCCCGGATGGGCCACGTCACCAGGTACAGGGTTCAGCAGACCAGATGCCTGGCAGGTTGTGGTGTTGGATCTAGAGGATGGAGCACTTGTTGCACCTCCTACCATCCCAGATCTGAGGGGCTCCCCCCAACCCCAGGACTTCCCATCCCAGTAGATAAGAGCTGCACCTCTTCTATCACCTACTCACCCCCGGACCTTTCATTTGGGTCACGTGTGAATGCAGCTGGTGTGTTTACCAAGTTCCACGCACCATGCAGACCACTGCAGGGAGACTCAGCTAGCAGGGCACTCAATGCCCAAGTGGTCACTGTCTTCATGTAGGACCAGTCAGTCCAAGGAAGAATCCAGGCAGACTCTTCAAAATTAACTTCAATCCCCAAGGCCCCCCTCTGGTTGGCCGGCCACCCAGAAGGTGCACCAATCAGGTGGGCCTGGGCTTGATGCTAGAGGGAAGAAAGATGCATCATATGCAGAAATGAAAAGAATTCCAAATTTCAAAATAGACTATGTAGCTCCCAATCCCTTTGACCTGATCTTTCCCCAGGAGATGGCCTAGAAGTAACCCTTTTCGGGGCGCCTGGGTGGCTCAGTCGTTAAACGTCTGCCTTCGGCTCAGGTCATGATCCCAGGGTCCTGGGATCGAGCCCCGCATCGGGCTCCCTGCTCAGCGGGAAGCCTGCTTCTCCCTCTCCCACTTCCCCTGCTCATGTTCCTGCTCTCGCTGTGTCTGTCAAATAAATAAAATCTTAAAAAAAAAAAAAGAAGTAACCCTTTTCTAGGGACAGCCACAGTCAGTGAACAAACTCCTTACTTAAGTGTATGGAGCAAGAGGGGATGGTGACAGGTCTTTGTTGAGGTGATTTTTTTAAAAATCCATCCCACCTCCGAGTGATATGGACAGCCTGAGGATGACAAAGGCTGTGAAATGGCCATTGAATACTTTGGCTATTGGCCCATTGCTGGGCAGTCTTTCCAACAAGAGCACCATTGTTAGCCTGTAAATGGTCCAGAATGTCCCAAACGGGCAGTTTAGTTTCAAGGGCCACAGTGGCGTGGCAGGAGTTGGCTGCCTGGACTGCAACAGCAGCCCCACACCCTGAAAAAGCACGGCGGTGAGACGCCACTGGCCGGCCAAGCGGGGGCCGCAGGTCCGACGGTGTCCATCAGCCAGGAGCGAGTGGACCACGGGGCCTCCCAACCCATGAGACAAACGGGACACGTGTTGGCAGAAGTGAGTCAGCATGACGACTTCTGCATGGGAAACATGAAAGGACACTGTATGAAAACCTAAAGTTTGGGGGCACCTGGGTGGCTCAGTTGTTAAGCGTCTGCCTTTGGCTCAGGTCATGATCCCAGGGTCCTGGGATTGAGCCCTGCATCGGGAGGCGGCGGGGAGCCTGCTTCTCCCTCTCCCACTCTCCCTGCTTGTGTTCCCTCTCTTGCTGTGTCTCTGTCAAATAAATAAAATCTTAAAAAAAAAAAAAGAAAACCTAAAGTTCAACTGGTCTTGATGGTGTTAAGAGAATTCACTTGATGATGTTCCTACTGCAGAATTACTTTAAAGTGATTCCCAACAGTTTCTTTTAAAATCCAAACACAGGGGCACCTGGCTGGCTCAGTGAGTGGAGCATGCAACTCTTGATTTTGGGGTTGTGAGTTTGAGCCCCTCATTGGGTGTAGAGATTACTTCATAAAATCTTTAAAAATAAATAAAGAGGGGCACCTGAGTGGTTTAGTCGGTTAAGCGTCTGACTTCGGCTCAGGTCATGATCCCATGGTCCTGGGATCGAGCCCCATGTCAGAGCTCCCCGCTCAGTGGGGAGTCTGCTTCTCCCTCTCCCTCTGCCCCTGCCCCTTGTGCTCTCTCTCTCTCAAATAAATAACATCTTTAAAAAAAATAAAAATAAAATCCACTTTTTATCTTTCACGTGACTTAAGTTATGGAGAGACAAGTCTTGCTTGAGTAGGTGGAGAAAGGCCCCCTGCTCAGCCAGAGGCATCACTGGGCCCAAGGTCCCCTGTAGGGAGCTTGAGGATGGCTCATGGAGTGGCAGGCTGGGTGCAGAGGAGAGCTGCCAGCTACTGAGGAGGAATGAGGAGACAAGCAGGTAGGCAGAGGTGGACACCAGCCCCCTGAAGGAGGCCCCCTTACTGAGCACTTCCCTTGGGTGATCTATGATCTCACATAACCCTCACACCCACCCAGAGTACAGGTGAGGAAACTGGAGGTTCAAAGGAGTTGAGTGACCAGCTCACTGCTGCACACCTGGAATGGTGGGTGGAGTCTCTTCCCAATGCCTCCTTCTCTGGACCACAGGCTCTCCCAGAGCTGGATCCCTATCTATCTGGGATACGTACGGCAGGCAGGTTTCATTTTCTCCCCATCATCTCTGAGGCTAGACTGCCAGGCTGCCTAGAAGGCTTGGCAGGGACAGGGCCAGAATCCCCGAGCAACATCTCCACAAATGAGGAAGGCTACAAAGGAGGACATGAGGTATTTGCCCAACTTGCCTCTCGAATAGATTTCTAAGCCCTATGGGGTGCAAGTCTCTCCCCCAGTGCACAGAATGTGACCATTTTGGCCTGAGGGGATTTCTAAGAAAGGTGAAGGGAAGGAGGCCTTGCCCAGCTTCCTGAGTCACCTGTGCAAGTGGAGGCCCCAGGCCACCTGCCTGACCCCATGGGTTCCCTCAAAGCTGCTCCATGTTCACGATTACGTGTGTGGACAGGGAGGAAGAAAGGAAGAGCCTCCAGAGTCTAGAGACAAGAAGGGAACACCCACAGGTGGGCAGCAGAATTGGGGCGAAACCTGGAGGCCGAATTCAGCCAGATGGTACCGTCCCCATTTCACTGCTGAAGCACATAGAGACCCGAGAAAGACTGCAGAGCCTCGGGGAAGATGAAAATCATGGATGCCGAAGTGATTTTGGTCAAAGCCGCTCCGGTCTCAGGAAGGTCTCGGTCTTCCCCTGGACAGGATGCATCCTCACTCCAATCCTCCTGTGCCGTCAAAGGCAGTGTTTCAAGGTGTGGATTAGTCTATAGTGGGTCATTATTTAAAAAACAACAACAAAAACAAAACAACGAAAGACAAAAACCAATTGAGTGGGGTATGTCTAGAATTTTCCAAAGTGACATAGAAGAAGGAAATGCCAGAGATTACCACAGGTGGTAAGTTAGCTAAGTGTTGTTTGGTGAAATTTTACGGGCACCCAGTTGAAATGTAAGACGTATTTCATTCAAAAAGATTTGAAAGATGAAATTTTTTTAAGGAGTCCATTTCTAGAATGGGACATCTCACGTAGTGTTGTTCTGTGTTAATTTTGGTAGAGTTTAAATCAGCAATCCCATAAAGAAAGCAAGCACTTGCTGAAATTTATTTTTAAAGGGAAGGCCATTTTTATTAAACTTGTACATTTTCTTCTCTTCCTTTCAGAATCCTAATAAAAAAAGACTTGTTTCTGCTTACTAAAAAAACAAAACAAAAAACAAAAACACACAGAACAAAGGAAACTATTAAGACATGACTTTTGTGATGGGAAAGGACACTACAGCATTCAACGTAAATCAAGAAAACTAAGACCTGGGGCAAAGAACTGAAGAGCAGCTGACTCTGATCTGGGGCCAGACCGCTCGCGGTGTGAGGCAGAGCCCTCCTCCGAGAGGGTTCCCAACACGAACCCAAGCAGGAGAGCGGGACGCAGCCCTCTCACCTTCTGGAGTAACAAACAGACCCGAAGCCCTAATGATTGTACAAATACAAACCAATCACTCTATTTTAAAAAGCACACACACGTGCTCCACTGGTCTCCCCTCCCATCCCAGGTGCTCGTCATCCGCAGGGAAGCCTGAGGAAGGGCGGCCTCTGGCTCGCAGGGCCTTCACAGGACGTAGGTGTTCTTCACCAGGTGCTCCTTGTCATCCCCAGAGCTCCAGACGGTGCTGAGCGTGCGCTCCTGGTTCCTCCGGGCCACCCGGATCAGGCAGACCACGGAGGCGCCCAGCAAGACGATCAGGACCATCACGAAGAGCCCCACCAGGACCACCACTGGGGAGGAGAGAAAGGCTTCAGAACCAGAAGGACGAGGAGGAGCAGAGCCAGCGCAGGGCCGCACAGGGCTCACATGGGACTCGTGCAGGTGGGCTCAGGGCGAGGACCAGCAGCCCTTGTGCCAGGCCTCCGCCGACCCCAGCCTGGGAGGGTCTGGAGAACGGGCACCGCCCGCCTGGGAAGTCAGCGAGGAGTCTACAGTCCCGAGGAGCAGATTCCTGAGAGAAGGAGGCGCTGTGCTGTGTGCACCCAGTGGCTCTGTGTGTTCTTTCTGAACAAAAAGATCCCACTTCCACCTGTGTTTCCACCTCTCAGGGGCAACCGGTGCAGGAGTCCCAAGCCACCAAATGGGTACCAGGATGTGAAAAGCACACACCTCTGGCTCGTGTGTAAACATGAAAGCCCAAGGTCGTGTGTTCACACAGCACACTGACCAGCCAGAGAAGCACGGGGCCGGCAGTGGCCGGGGCGGCTGCCTGCGGAATGGGGTCAGGGCGGAGGCAAGGGCGCGTTCAGAGCGGCGCCGGAAGGGGACCGCCGTGCTCCTCGCTGCCCAGGGAAACCGCACCGCGGCTGCCCCACCGCTGTTCCCGGGTCAGCCGAGACGCCCTCCTCAGGCGGGGCTCCAGCTAAAGAAGGTGGCCTCCCACGCAGCCACCTGGCTCCCTCTCCCCATGTGGCGACAGGATGGACGGGGGCAGCCCCCTCTCCACCCGCAACCCTCCACAGCCAGGCCGCGTTCTGCCCCTTGCCGGGCAACCCCGATTCTGGCTTCGCTCCTCTAAACCACAGCGGACGCGCAGACCGGTCTGGGCTCCTGAACAGGAAAACAAGTGGAAAGAGGCCAAACCAGTGTGGCCGGTCCTTTGTGCAAACATGACCATCCGTGACTCAGGCTCGGAATCAGAAACAAAAGCGAGAGGAGGCCCGGGGTCCGGTCAGACCGGCCTGCTTTGGGACAACAGCGTGGGCCCTGCCCCGCTCGGCCCACACGCAGCAAGGGCTCTCCAGCTTCCGGTCACCGTGACCAGCTCAGCACACCCCACAGCAGCAGAGTCCCCTCCAAGTCTGGAGCCAGTCTCAGGCCTGTGTGCAGCAGACCCCACAAGCCTAACAGCACAACTTGTCCTCCAGTCACCCCAGGGCGCCCGGGTGAAGACTGCCCGCCTCCAGCCCCATTATACTGCCTGGCGGGACAAACGTCCAGCATTATGTCCCAAGCTGTCCGACCATTCTCATGCCGAAACAGGACTCTCAACCCAAAAGATGTTTACGGTGAAGGATTATGTGTCAGAGACCACATGAGCCTGCAAAAACACTGCAGAGCTTAAGTCAGGGAAGGCAGGTGGAGGGCCAGAGGCCTCTTACCTTTAGTGCCACGGGGTAGGACAGGATACAACTGCTTGCCTGGAAAAGAACACACAACCCTAAGGTCAGCTCACAGTCCTCCTGCCCTCCAGAGCTGCCACCAACCAGGTGTTCACAAGAGGCTCTTTCTGAGGGACTTCTTCCAGCTCTTTTAAAGATTCTGAGGCCTTGCCACCCTGGTGGGAACCTAGGACACGTCTGTGCAACAACTGGGCCCAAAGCCTCCCTCTTCCCCACAAGGGAGCCAGAGAATGGTAGCGTCCAAATGACAGCATTGCCAAGGTCTTCCTTTTAGGGATGGGGAAATGGACCCATCCCACGGTCCTCACAAGAGGCCTCACCCACCCATCCACCCAACATTGTTTCTTGCATTTAGGAATCAGGCGGGCTCACCAAAGCAGCGGTGCATGCACTCCTCCTTAGAGACATAGCTGTTTTTATTGCCCCGGCACCCTCCGTAGATGAAGTTGTCACAAGAGTTCGTCTCCACATCGAAGTACCAGCGTGGCAAGGACGAGTGGCAAGGCCCAGTGACTGCTTTGGCAGTGCAGTATTCTGGGAACGACACAACCCAAGGAGGACAAATTAGCAGGGCTCAGCTGTGAAGCGGAGCTGGAATGTTCCTGAGCAGTCGCACCGCCGCCAGCCAACAGAGACACTCTCTGCTAGAGGGGCCTGTAAAGACAGACGTGGCCAGTTGGGCCCCCTGGACACTCCTCCATGTCTTGGGGTATCCTTCTCTTTACAGCCAGACCCCACTGGTAAGGAGATCACTCCATGTCAGGCGCTGTTCTAGGCACTTCACGCGTGCTGACTTGGTCTCTAAGAGACCTGTCATGGGCCCCTCGTTTCATCCTCAGGAGGCAGGGCCACCCAGCCAGGGAGAGGGAGGAGCCAGCACACCACCCGGCCTCCCGCCGGGAAGCTTCCCCACCCACGGCCAGGCCACGCGCGCTCCCCGCAGCCCTGGGGCATGCCTGTGAGTTCCATCGCCCGCGGGAGGTCGGGAAGCTCTGGCTACACTACTTCCTTAGTGGAAATACTCAAGTGTGTCTCAGTTCCCAACTAAGGAAGAAAACCTGTTTTTCCCATACATAAATTTTTTTTTTAAGATTTTATTTACTTGACAGAGAGAGAGAGTTAGTGAGAGCAGGAACACAAGCAGGGGGAGTGGGAGAGGGAGAAGCAGGCTTCTTGCCGAGCAGGGAGCCTGATGTGGGGCTCGATCCCACGACCCTGGGATCATGACCTGTGCCTTCGACTGAGCCACCCAGGCGCCCCCCACCCCATACATAAATATTTTTAAGAAGTTATACCTTCGTAGTCGAAAATATCACCAGAGAGGTCATCAGAATCCTGCCTTCTGGAAACTAAAACAGAAACATCCAAGTCAGTGAGGCTAGGATGGACACAGTACACATAGCCTGGCTGGAGCTGAGACTAACAGGGCCCACTGAGGGAGCAAGGACCCGCCAGCACCTAGGAGTGGAGTCCCCTCCATGGGTAGGCTTGTCGCCCCCCAGTCCTCACGGGCTCTATCACACACTGGAACGCATGCTGGATGGGGAGGCCTGCCTGTCACCTCAGGGGTCACTACGGAAACATCCCAGCCACAATTTCGGGGGTGCTGAGGAAGACGGTCTTGTTCATTCCCTGACATAGTGAGAAGGCCCCTCACCCTCCTGGAGAGGTTTTCTTCTAAAACAGAGATACCATGCCTGTGCCTGAGGATGCTAGATGACCTTGGAGGCCAGCTTGGGAATGAAGAGTGAACCCAGGCAAAGCAATGGTCAGGACAGTCGCAGGATTCCTGGTCTAGCAAAACTGGAAAGTGACTCTAACGAGCCAGCCAACCACTGAACTAATAAATGCTCGCTCTCGCGTGAGCACTGATGTCAGAACCAGAGGACTGAAGCCAAGGCTGCAGTCAGTGCAGAGCCACTGGCCAACTGGGGGGCTGCCCTCAAATGGGACGGGGGCAGAGTCCCTCCCTCCACAGCAGGTCTTGCCCAAAAGAGCCCACTGCCTGGGAGCTGGCCTTCAAGAAAGCTGGGCTGGACTTGCCAGTGCATCTGGACCACTCACCCCAGGCTCCTGATGCATGCAGAGTCCTTTAAGCATAAAGGAGGAAGGGGGCAGCTGCTGTCAGCACTACAAAGCAAGCTGGCACAAGGCTCGAGATCAAGGACTGCAGTGGGAATGCAGGCGGGGGTGGCAGAAGACAGAGGACTCGGCACAGGGAGGGGGACGGCAAGGACAACCGAGGACAAAGGAGCCGGAAGACGCAAGGAGAGGTGGGGCGGGCCAGTGAGACGGCACAGCGGGCAGAGGCCAGCCCAGGGAGAGGGAAGGGGCCTGCGCTGCGGGCCACAGCAGCGTCCACAATCCCGTGTCTCCCGGGAGGGAGCGGAGGCGAGCCTGGAAGCACGGCAGCACCCCTCGGCCCTCTCGTCCGCTGGACAACGTGAACTCCCCGGTGTAAGGATGCCAGCCAGGAGCCGGAAGCTGGCAGCCCAGGCAGAGCCCCGGCTCGTCGATTCGGAATAAACAGACCAGGAGGTGGGAGCCCTTATACGACTCCCAAATCACACATGTCCTTCTCGTGGTCCAGATGGCCCTCACTCCATCCTCGGTGGTTTTAAGAACCTACCACTTGGGACAGACGAATCTGCTCCATTCCTGCTGGTGGCCAGATCATCAATGGTGTTCTCTACAAGGGGACAGACAACACAGTGAGAAAGTGCACCTCAAGAATGCCCCGTAACACACGGCGAGCAGAGTCCCCAGGCAGCCACGGTCCCATGTGCCTCTCACGGTGACTCCCATTTCTCCTTTTGTGGTGGGCCCTTTGATGTACGTGCCGGACCATAAGCCTGCTGGAACTTGGAAATAAGGAACCAAGACTGCCCCTGTGGGTTAAACTTTAAGACCCCTCGCTGGTAATCAGATCCAAGATGTCTGAAAGGACTTTAAAAAAACAGAATGGCTTCCAAGGCCAAATAATCTGTTTAACTGTATTAACTCACCCCGTGAATTTAAAAAGGTATGCAGCAGTCCGAACATACTCGATGCCGCCGAGCTGTGGGGACTGGGCACCTGGGCAGTTAGGTATAGTTTACCTCACACACGCACAGAGTGACGGCGTGGGGCAGAGAGGCCTGCTGGTTAGGGAATTACGAGGAAGGAAGCACCGGCAGGGTCTAGGAAGGACAGGAGTTGGCCCCCCTGCCTCCCCGCTGGTCCCAGCAGAGCTGGGGCAGAGGCACGGGGCCGGCATCACCGGATGCCATCAAACATCCGTATCACAAACGAGCGTGCCTTGTTCTGCGCCTCTCCACAGCAAGCGATCTTCTGGGAGTCCGGCGGAGAGGCTCGCCTACATGGACTAAAGCTACAGCAGGCTCCGAGACCCGAGTGTCTGGTCCCCTGGGGAGTTCTGGTTCTCATTATAAATGAATAAACTGACATTCTCATTCTCATTTGGCTTCCCACCGAGGACGCCTGCTTGGGAGAGAATATGCTGGTGGAAGGCTCCAGCGGCGAGCTGCTCTGGCAGTGTTAGCTCTCCTCCCAGACTCGGGAGAGACGCTGCAACGAGACTCAGTGGAGCCACACTCAGCTGCCAACAAACGAGCTTTCTGGGCCCTCAGACTCTGGACCACCTGTAGGGAGACAGCTGTCTGCCTTCTCCCAGCAAAACTCAAGAACCTGTGACCCTTTGTAGCAACATCCTGTCTGAATGCCCACTGTTCACTGCTTGTGTTCTTAAAATTTCAACCGTTTTCCTGAAAAATAAGGAGAAACTCAAACAGGCAGGCACATTTGCTACAGCTGACTCTTAATGGAGAAAGGACAGAAAAGGTAGCAAAAAATGTTTCCCTTTAATTCTGCTCCCATACCGAATCATAGCGGACAACAAAAAAAGTACAATAAATGGTATTTTCCTCAGTCACCATCTGGTAAGGTTGCCAGTTGCCCCCCAAAAGGTAAGGGACTTGCCTGTATGATCCCAAAATAATACCCGGCCACCTCAGCTTTCCAAATGCTTATCGAATGTCTTCTGGGCAGCACAACACAAAGATCAACAGAATGTTCCTTGAGGTGCTCTTGTCAGTGTGGGCTTGTGTGCTCAAGCACTGTTTGGAACCTCTGGCCACACCAAGGCCACTGTTGTTTCCCCCTCTTCACGTACAACTTTAATAAGATACCTGATTTCTGAATGCAGAACTCAAAGCCAAGGGAGATTATAGCCAGTGCATGAGGAGACATAAAACCCAACGAGGATGCAGGGCTCGTCTCTGGACCGGGGATCCCAGGACCCCGGGATCATGACCTGAGCCGAAAGCAGACGCTTAACCGACTGAGCCACCCAGGCGCCCCAAGTAGGTTGCAGTTTTGACTCATACCTTGGCTGGCTGGGTGAGCTCCTCAAGTCATTTGTCCCAGAGATAAAAATAACCCCAATGCCCAGGGAGCAGGGAGGGCAGCCTGTCTGGGTGGCCTGGAGGACTCTCCTCTGCTAGGCCTGGCAGGGCACTGGCGCTCAGCAGTGAGAGAAAGGAATCGGGGAGAAGAGGCAGTCATGTCCCCCTCCCCCAGCTCCAGCCTGTGGCCTGCTCTCCTTTCTGGGAAGAGGAGGTAGAGGACTGCTGTGAAACCACTGTGTGGGTGACCTTCAAAGTGCGCCTGTTTCTTCTGCTTTTTAAAAACATCCCCCAGGGGCGCCTGGGTGGCTCAGTCATTAAGCATCTGCCTTCGGCTCAGGTCATGATCCCAGGGTCCTGGGATCGAGCCCCGCCATCAGGCTCCCTGCTCTGCGGGGGGCCTGCTTCTCCCTCTCTCACTCCCACTGCTTGTGTTCCCTCTCACTGTGTCTCTCTCTGTCAAATAAGTAAAATCTTTAAAAAAAATAAAAATTAAAAATTAAAAAAAATAAAAACATCCCCCAGGTTCAGCCGTGAAGAATGAGCATAATGCAAAAGGCATCACATCCCAGTTAATAAACTGTCTCTAGGTTATACCATTTCCCCAGGGACCAATGTCTTACCTGTGACACCAGCACATTTCTCAAGACACTCCTCCTTGGTCATGTAGTTATTTTTATTCCCTTCACAGCCGCCATACACAAACTTCTGGCAGGATCCATCAGTGACATTGTACCACCATCTAGGGAAGGAGGCCCGGCATCTTCCCACTATCTTCGGAACTCGACAGAAGTCTAAAATACAAAGCATAGACCAGTTGGCTTGGCAGGACAATCCTGCCAACAGAGAAGACACACAGACCTATCAGAGGAGGCCCACAGTTTTCCTGAGCCCCAAGATCCAGCACAGCTTCTCTGTGAGCCGTTTCTAAAGTGCTGCCACCAGGCTTAGTGATTCCTTCCTTAAGAAAGAAACACATCATCTAACAAAGATACCCACCCAACCAACTTAACTATATTTCAGTTGCATGTTGATTCTGTCCCTGCCCCCATTTATTAAAGACGTACACCATTCAGTGTAGAAATATGGCTTTCAAAGGCAAAACACACAGCTGACTCGAGGGGAAACCTTGCACTGAAGGATGTGTCTTAACCTTCCTTATCCACTGTTTGACCAGGTCAACCACTTCAAACCCAAATTTCCACAAGAGCCTCAGAGAGAAGCTCCTAACTCTAGTCTTCCCACCTCCCAAGGCAGCTGAGGGCACTCTTATGCTCCAGTACTTGTAATGGCCACATCTGAGCATTCTAAGAGGGGCCTGGGTTTCAAGGTACCCCCAAATGTGACCCTCCTCTAGTACAAGGGAAACAAACAAAAATGTTATGAAATACCAGCCAGCTACATTTGCCTCCCAAAGGCCTAGATAGCTGCTATCTCTTAAGAAGGTAGAGATAAGCAAGTGCTGGAGGTATCACCTGCACCAAAATAAGACTTTCTCCGGGAGGAATCAGGAGGATGGAAAGCAAGCTGAAAAGGGAGTGACCTGACAATGTGATTCCACGTCTGCCCAGTAGCACCCTATCATCTTCCTGGGATTCTGAGTCCACATCACCTCCTTTACCTTCCCTGGCCTCCACCCATCTCTTGTCTTCTGGCATAAGCTCCAATCTGAGCAGGGTGCTCAATAAACATCGCAAATAAAAGTACCCCAGGGCCCAACACTTGGTTATATGCTGTCATTTACTCCTGATTATTTTCATGTTTGTTAGGTTTACTTCACTAACTAGGGGACAGCTTTCAAAAGCAGAGGGCAAGACCTCGTTTCTCCTAATATATGTCACAATAATGGGCATGAAACCAAATGTTCCACAAAACATTTATCTATGGACAAAAAGGCTTGTAGTACTGAGCAAAACCTCAAGGTGCTCTCATACACACGGATAAATCACAGGTAACTAGTTCAGCAGAAAAAGCATATTTTTTTTGAAGATTTTATTTATTTATTTGAGAGAGAGAGCACGAGAAGGAAGAGGGTCAGAGGGAGAAGCAGACCCCCCGCTGAGCAGGGAGCCCGATGCGGGACTCGATCCCGGGACTCCAGGATCATGACCTGAGCCGAAGGCAGTCACTTAACCAACTGAGCCACCCAGGCGCCCAGAAAAAGCATATTCTTAAGTAAGAAATTTTCTGTTAATTTGAAAGCAAACATCCTTTTAATCACCAATTAAAAAGTACCTTATCTGGATACTTCATATGAAAAGAATCATTTAATATGTCCAGAAAAGGCAAATCAAGAGAGACAGGAAGTAGATTACTGCTTGCCTGGTGCTGGGGGGGAAGGGGGGGTTGGGGGATGGTAAGGACTGCAGATGGGCACAGGGATTTTTGGGGATGATGGAAATATTCTAAAATTAGATTGTGGGGATGGTTGTACAACTCTGTAAATGTACTAAAAATCACTGGATTGTATGCTGATTTTATGGTATGTAAATACTTTAAGCAGTTTTAAGAAAAAACAGGGGCACCTCCTGTCCATAACACGTTAACCGGAATCAGCTGGGTGTGCACCTGTTGCAGATACTTTAGACAACGTGCCAAAGGTCACAAAACATATACAATCAACAAGGCCCAAGACACCATAGGAAAAGAGTTCTCTGGTGTATGATTTGCTCAATGGCGGCTGTCAAATGTCTGAGGCAGCACTGCCATTAACAAGACAAGATGGAGAAGAGCCTCACGGGAACCACGTATGACCCACAAGTGAAAACGACCTCAAGGCGGGGAGGACCCAACTGCTGCAGAGGTGAACGGCCTATCCAGTGCCCTGCCAATCACTCGGACTGCTCGGTGTCCTTGCTTCCTGAGCAGTTTCAGGGACAGTCTTTCAGACAAAAAATCCGAGAGAGGAACTGCACCCTTTAAATGGGTGAACTGTATCACAGGTGAACTGCATCTCAAAACAGAGAACGCCGAACAAAGCTCGAAGCAGCTAAGGTGGGAACCTCCAGACACCACAGCAGAGAATGCGACGGGCTGACCACCTACCTCGTCAAGGGTGGAGATGTGGTAGCTTCTCCTGAGCAAGGGTGCTGGGTACACGCTCGGTACAGGTGAAGAAGGGGCTGAGAGTATATAATGGAGAGAAAACCCTATCCGAGGCTGGAGAGCAGCTAGCTTAGTGAAGTCACACCGCCCAGAATCTGGCCCTCATCCCTGTCAGCTCAGACACTCGCAGTGCCCTGGCTGATGAGACGCAGGGATGCGGGCGCTTGCTGGCAGAGGACACAGGAGGATGCTGAGAAACACCAGCCAAGCGTGCTGATGTACACATCAATCAACACACCACCTCAGAAAGCAGGCCGAAACGAGCAGGTCCCTTGGAGTCAGGATAAGGAAGTCTGCTGCAAGATTCCCGTGGACATCCTGCTCCGTCGGGATCTACCAGGCAGCCCAGAGGCGCAGAGCACGCAACTCAGGACACACCTTGGTCAAGACACCGCAGTCAAGGTGTGCCTCTGGAATACCTCCTTCCCTGACTGCCACCACTGACTGATGCCGCTTCCTGACTGGCACGTGATGGTGTAGATGTGATGGTGTCTTCGCAACAAATCCTGAGGCCGGGGGGCCACTATGTCCCAGAGAGCGGCTCTCGTCTGCTCCTAATGACGACACACTGACTTCACAGCGTAAGTTTCAGAAAACAGCCTTATTTTGAGGTTCCCTGGGTGGGGTAGGAGGGGGTGGGGGTGGGGAACCTTCACTTTTGTCGCAGGGGAATTTAGAAAAAAAATTTTTTTTTTTTTAAGTAGGCTCCACACCCAATGTGGGGCCCAACATGGGGCTTGAACTCACGACCCTGGGATCAAGACCTGAGCTGAGATCAAGAGTCAGATGCTTACCTGACTGAGCCAGTCAGGCGCCCCTAGAAATGTCTCTTTATTAAGAGAAAACTTGGACTAAAAACATAGTATGTCTGTAAAGACAGAATGCTGACAGTTGCTGAAGCTGAGTGATGGTCCATGTGGGCTCACACAACTGTGTATATATTTGAAAATTTCTGTAATAAAGACAGAAAAAAAATCTTACCTTTTTTTTTTTACACAAATTTGATTAGAGTAAAAGTAAGAGCTCCAAGTAGCAGAATAATTGCCTGAAGCTAGGTTCCATCAAGGTGAAATTTAACCATGTGTAAGAGTCCTTTCTGCAAGTCTGGAAACTCCCTGTCAAATGGAGAAAATTCTCACTTTGCCCCATGCTTTTACTAAATTGCTTTTAAGCCTCTATGAGAGAAATTGTTACTGTCTAGGCTTAAGAAGTGAACTCAAGGGGCGCCTGGGTGGCTCAGTCGTTAAGCATCTGCCTTCGGCTCAGGTCATGATCCCAGGGTCCTGGGATCAAGCCCGACATCGGGCTCCCTGCTCAGTGGGGAGCCTGCTTCTCCCTCTAACCCTCCCCCCTCTCAGGTACTCTCTCTCTCTCTCATTCTCACTCTCTCAAATAAGTAAATCTTTAAAAAAAAAAAAAAAAAAGCACTGTACTTTAGGAGATCCAGATTAAAATAAAAATGAACCAAAATGGGGGCGCCTGGCTGGCGCAGTTGGTAGAACATGTGACTCTTGATCTCAGGGTTGTGAGGTCAAGCCTCAAGTTTGGTGTAGCGATTACTTTAAAATACAATCTGAAGAGGGGCGCCTGGGTGGCTCAGTCGTTAAGCATCTGCCTTCAGCTCGGGTCATGATCCCAGGGTCCTGGGATGGATCCCCGCATCGGGCTCCCTGCTCCGCGGGAAGCCTGCTTCTCCCTCTCCCACTCCCCCTGCTTGTGTTCCCTCTTTGCTGTGTCTGTCAAATAAATAAATAAAATCTTAAAAAAAAAAAAGAACCAAAATGCTGAGCATTATTTATTTCTTGAAACCCCTTCTGCTACCTTCACTAAAGCATTATGCTAGGTACATTACATGCACTATTTCTAACAGTCACAATAAAACTGCGGAGCAGGTAGTAACACGCTCACTTTACAAATGAGGACACCGAGGCTAAGCTAACCAGAAGCAGAGCTTAATCTGAATTCACACTGGCCCGGTGAGAGCTGGGCATTAACATAACTACCCCTCCTTCAGACAGACAGAAAGAAAAAGCCACACAACACGCAGTGGGAAAAACATGAAACCGAAGATGCCTAAAAGCCAAAACATTCCTCAAGGTCCTTAACACAATCCGAGGGCTCAACGGGCCAGGCCCTTTGCTGGGCCTGTTTACAGTCACACTCAATGACAGGGTCACGGACAGCACCACATCAACTGGCCAAGGCTGAGGGGAACTTGGTAGGACCAATTTTCAGGAAGTTATTCCTTAATAAATCATTCTATTAAGAGATGATAAAACGATATATTGGTCTTAGAACAGCATTGGAAAACAATCATGAGAAATATGTCTCTAGGGGCGCCTGGGTGGCTCAGTTGTTAAGCGTCTGCCTTCGGCTCGGGTCATGATCCCAGGGTCCTGGGATGGAGCCCCAGAGCCCAACGTCGGGCTCCTGCCTGTTTCTCCCTCTCCCACTCCCCCTGCTTGTGTTCCCTCTCTTGCTGTGTCTCTGTCAAATACATAAATAAAATCTTTAAAAAAAAAAGAAAACTATGTCTCTAGTCCTATTTGTATGCTCACAAATGCTAGTGCAAAATGAAATACATCCTGTAAGTTTTCAATGCAGAGGAAAAACGGAGAAAAGCTGAGGAGCACCAAATCTGGAAATACTCACTTCAGAGTATGTAAAAATGGAATTTCTGTCTTTAGGAAACCCTAACGTTCTCTTGGAAAAGCATCAGAAATGGTTAAAA